GGTATCCAAGATGTGCAGATGTGCCGGACAGCAGCTTGACGATTTATAATGATTCAATTCATTCATTACCACATACGGTCACATACGTATACAGATACATCAACATCTATCTAAAGACACTTTGCTTGATGCTGTGCATGGAGTTCTGTCTTTTTGATCTTTATGAAGGCAAACGTTGTGGCAAATCAATGACCTTGGAGCCTTAGAGATGTCTTTGCTGACACTCCAGCACGTGTTCAATCTCTCGTCACTGCTCACCATCATCACAAGGCTACTCGAAAGGATTCGCCAATTTTGGCAGAACCTCAGCAGTCAATTAACAACGTGAAGGCCTGGGCGGTTCTGCAAATAAAAGCATCTTTTCATTAGGGGTAAAGCGCGTGGCGCGTGGTAGGGGGTTTGTTTGTGTAAGGGTTTGTTTTTTGCTAGCTTTGTTTTTTTAACAAAAATCCTTGAACAAAAACAATAAAAAACAAAAAAACAATTAAAAACACAGAAAAAAACAAGGAACCATAATTCAAAAGGAAACGAGGAATAAACCTTCTGAGGTGTGCTGAGGAAAAAACGCTGCATGTGTACCAAGACACCAAGCAAAAAGGTTTCCAGTGGTTTTCAATCCCTCCCTATTGCAGCACATGACAACAACTGCTCTACAACTGACAGCGATGAGCATCACGTTCAATGGACCTCAGTTTGCCAAAAAGGGTCATGCTTTGAAGTAAACACTTTGAACTCCACACATCATGTCACAACAAATCACACTGGCTAAGATGACAGCAGTGTCATCCAGTGGCCTGGCAAGAGTCAAGCTGCACATTCAGCTGGACAGATGGCAAGCAAGCCTTCTCAGGCCGGATCCTGTCAATCAATTATGGGACCAGCAGGCCAGCAGGCTAGCTGGGGTCAGTTTCATCAACGCAGTTTGGAAGCCAGGCATTTGAGATGGCTTGGCTTGAGATCAATTTTTGACCTCCGACTGGTTGTGCATCATTGCGTCTACGAAAATGCAAATTAAGAGCAGTCAGAGTGTGAATTGGTCAATGGGAAAAGCTCAGCCGACAGCATTTGACTTGATCACGCAAAGTGTCTGTGTGAGCTTTTCTAGAACATGTCAGTTTTCAAATTAGTGACGTGGCCATGTCATGGCTGAGCACTCACTGACAAACACTCTGCTAAGACTTAAAGTTAATTAGTTTTGAAACAGCTCAGCTTGCAGCAGTTGCCCTACTCGTCGGCCAAAGGCAACCGTGTACTGCTGAGACTTGTAGAGCTCATCTTTGTGCCCTGTGAAGGCACCACTGTCGTCGCGTGTCGTCAAAGTGGAATCACATCGGGGCTTCTCGCACTGTAGTTCTTCAATTTGCCTCCAAGTTGTGAAGAGTGACAGGGGCTTGACAGTCTCACCTCCAAAACTTCCTAGGTACGTCCTAAATGACATTGTTCCTGTGTAGTGGAAAACTCCAAGGACAGGCCTGCAGAATTGTAAGCACGAGCTCTGTGGCTGCTCCAGCACCACATGAATTTGCAAGAGCCATCCAATGAAGTAAAATAAGCTGGAGACTGCCTGAAGGATGTTCCCTACCTGGACAAAGCCACGACTGTCGTCCCCCATAAAGTTGTTTATCTGGGACCTTGCGCTCTGTGCCCTGCAAAGCACTGTAAAGCTGCGGCACTCACAAGCGATCCACAGCAGGCCGCTTTGACGAATTGAAGCAATGCAGTCCAGGACCAGGCGAATGCCCTTGCCACACAAGTTGTGCTCTTCCGGCTCAAACACCCAGTCAAAAGCACAGCCAGAAAGACCAAGTCGAAGACACTCTCGTGTGAGATTCCCACATCCAGCGAACACTTCACAGAAGTCGTGATGAGGAAAATCATCACTTGTTCTCATCATCTGGTTCCTCACGCCCCGGAGAGCCAACGAAAGCAGCATGCGACTCAGAGTCAGAGTCTGGAACAATGGGTAGCTGAGCAATAAGAAAGTGGGCCACAATCTCGCAGCTTCACCTCCATTAATCTCCGAATCTGTCTTCAAAAACTCATCGATTAAGGTGGTGTAATATCCGACAACACGGCACTCAAAGCTCTCCAGGCTCCTGGATTGTTAGTTGAAAAAGACTGTCAAAAAGTTCCTGGGGGGCCCAAGTTCCTGGGGGGCCCAAGTTCCTGGGGGGCCCAAGTCCATGGTAGCCATCTTGAATAAATAATAACTCGCTATTTTTCACCACCGCTCCTTGGTATCGGGGACCATCGAAAGAAATCTGCAACCTTCCGGTGGCATGCCAAGTAGAACCGCTGGTTCAACCCAGAGGTGAAGCTGCTAACGTAGACAGAGTCTCCATTGATGGCATGGGTTGGTCTGCTGGGTTGGCAATCTAGCTGTTGCCCACTAGCATCAGCATGGCCCAGCACTGGCACCCGAGAGCGAGAGATGGATTTCTGCTTGACAGCAACCTTTCTGACCCTTTTCTTTCTGTCCAACTTGCCAAGCTTGGGCATAGACATCAGCGCCAGAGCCACAAGCGGAAACCACGACGCGGAAGCGTCCATCATTGGCAACAGCAAGGCAACTGTGACAACAGTCAGCTGCAAAGCAGTGTCACATGTCACAGTGTCACATGTCACATGTCAAGTTAGCTCATGCTGTGGGTCAATTGTTTGTGAATGTCTGTCTGTGTCTGTTTTAGGATTGCTTTTCGCAGTAAGAAACAGGTTCACTGACTGACTGGGCCAGGAAGCAGGCAGTTCCTTGTTATATCACCAGGACACCAAAATTTTCTTGGCTGACAACTGCCACAATCAGTCTAATGACAATGAGACTACAGCCGACTGACAACTGACAAAATCTGGTGGCAAAGCAAAACTACAGCTGACTCATCTGACAGAATATTTTCGACAGCAGCAGAATTAGAGAATGCAACTTGGAACAGGCGAAGAAAGCGGCTGCAGACTCATTTTGCCTGACTGATTTTCAGTTTAAGCACACAGTGGCATTTTCCACGTCACAGAAAAAATTCTGGCTGTTCTTGACAGCAGCTAACCATGGAACTAGTTTTTCCTTTTTTTGGGCGGCAAGGCATTGATCGATTCCTGAAGCCTTTCCAACACTGATGCGCTGACTACACCAGGCCTTTGAGCCAAGCCGCCCGCAACATCAAAGCCTCCAACCAGGCAGCCGAAGTCAAACAAACAAGAAAACCGCTAAAACACATTGGGCGACAAAAACCCAACCATTGAACAAAACTGACACAAAAAATTCATCAGTCCATAACAATGTGGCCAAGAAGCTCCCGTTATCCTTATACTTTTCCCAAGCCGTCCACGCCAAGCTGTGGACCTCCGCCAGCTTCTCCCGCCAATCCCCTCGAGCCACATTAAACGATCTGCTGTTACTTGACCTCGCCAAAGAAGCTGCATATGTCGCAGTGAAGCGGTGATCATTGCCTTACACACAGTGACAAGGCAACTGCAGGGGTGGAAAGCCTAGCTGTTTCACAGCAAACTTGCTTGCCTATCTCTAGCAGTCACCAGAGGTTAAAAAATGTTTGATTGGGATGTTACATCGTGTTCTTCCTAAGCTCCAGTGCCGAAGACAACTCACTAAATTTCATGTCAGTCAATCAAGGAACAGTTGAGTAAGATTGCGCACCCGGGCGGGGAAACCTCACGCAAACAAGCTGGAGAATGGTGAAGGGTGGGCCCTCGGACATAGGGAGCCCTCTCTGAGCCAGGTTCTGAAGCTGGAGGTTGTGCTGGACCGTGTTCTGGAAGCGAAGCAAGTGGCACTGGAGGATCGCTTGATGATGATGAAGCTGCTGGAACTAGTGGTTCCTCACCTGCACCTGCAGCTGGAGTTGGCGACGACTCTGCGGATCCGCCATCCAAAGCTGCTGGTGGTCCTGAAGCAGGTTGCTCATCCACATCCGCAAATACATCTGACTCACCCCCTGCTGTTGTTGAATCAGGTTGCCCATCCACAGCTGTAGGTACATCTGACTCGCACTGTTGGCCCAAGGCAGTTGCTGAATCAGGTTCCTCATCCACGGCAGGTACTTCTGACTCACACGACCAGACATCGCCGAAGGCAGCTGCATCAGGTTGCTCAGCTGCAGCAGGCACATCTGACTCACATTGTTCTTCGCCCATTGTCGAATCACTTTGCTCATCCAACGGCTGGTTTGAAGAGGTGTTTGCTGGGGCCAAGTCAGCATCCATGGGGTCGTTGTCATCAACTTCGAGAACTGATGGAGGCATCTCGGCGTCATTGGCTTCGAGCCCTGCGCCACATGCTTCATCAGCAGCGGGCCCGGGAGCAGCAATCTTTCTCCTCTTAATGCCACTTCCACTACTTGAATTGCGTCCATTTTCATCGTCAGGAGCATCGAACCCTTGATCATCTCCGTCAGCTTCAGAGGTAGCAAAACTCAGCCGTCTGCGGACAGAAGCTTTGCCACGGCCTTTGGCTCCTCTGCCCTTGCCCCTGCCCTTGCCACGTTTCCCTTTTCCTCGACCTTTGGCCTTTCGTTCTTTTTTCTCCTTGGCCAGGATGAGCAAGATGAGCAATGATGCATACATTCATGGACGTACTAGTTTAAATGGTAGCTCTCACATGCTGTCAGGGACAGGCAGGCATGGAAATCACAAACACAAAAGTGACGAGCAAAAATGAAGGCAAGGTACTTGCAGGTGCTTCTCCAAGAGGTTGGCCCATTGGAGTTTCTTCTTCATCTTGTCCTTGGTGGAGACACGCTGCAGAATGTCTTTGAAGTCAGACAACTCTTCCCGGTCCATTGACTCCAAGATCATCTCAGCCAGATCATCTTGCCAGTCTCTCTCATCATCTTCTCCATTCCCGCCAGCTGAAGCTTTCTTCTTGCATTTCGCATCTGCCTGCACAACACAGTCGGCAAAGTCCTGATCACCAACTTGAAGAGCCAGAAGTTCCAGCAAAGCTGCGCGACCTTTGGTTTTGGACACCTGATTTCCGCAGAGCTCTGCAATGAAGAGCAATTCGTGCTGCACCAGGTCAGAACTGAAGAACCGAAGACAGCATCGAAGTGAATTTTCGAAGACATCAAAGTGTGCAGCAATTTTGCCTTCCTCCAGCTGCAGAGCTGGCTCAACTGAGCTGCACTCGAAGTCATCCATTTTGTGCATGAAGAAGATGCTGGCACTTCCACATGGATCCAGATAGTATTCTTCCTTGTCCTCATTGGTGACCAAGCAAAAAGGCCATCCAATGATGCACCACCGCAGGTTGGAAACACAGAGAAAACGATCTTCGGAGCCTGGACGTTGAAAGGCCATCCCTGGCCTGATGACAATACAGCTGAGAGCATCCTGAGTCCAGATGAAGCTGATACACATACAATGGTGTGCACATGTCAAAGATGTTGGGGATATCCAGGGATGTCAACATTGTCACAGGCTGTCCGGTGTAAGTCTATATTTATAAGACACTATATGATACATGTGGAGGAAGAGTCGGCTGTGAGATTTAGATATATGTGGAGGAGGAGCCAGCACTTGTCAGCTGTAAGTCAGAAATTGTGACACCAGGGAATAAGCTGCGCCAGTTTGAAACCGTCAGTCAGCTGTTGTCATGACACCCTATAATCATAGGATTTCACTTATTCAAAAATTGCCTTTCTTCAAGTGATCCCCACCCTGACAGACTATCCTGACACACAATCCGGCATACCATCTGGCAGCAAATATGGCAGATATCATCTGACAATTTCTATCTGATTTTCTTTCTGGCATATGTTCTGACAAGCTGCTTGACATTCTATCATCTATTCTGGCATGCTTTCTGGCATATATTGCCATATATGTTCTGGCATTCTGTCTGGCATTCATTTTGGCATTCTATCTGGCATATTCTGATATTCTTTCTGGCGTTCCATCTGGCACATGTTCTGACATTCTACCTGGCAGTCTTTCTAGCATCTATTCTGACATTCTATCTGGCATATGTTCTGGCATTCTGTCTGGTAATTTTTGTGCCATTCTATCAGGCATACATTTTGACCGGACCTCCTTTCTGAAATTCTATCTCGCAGTTCTGACATACTATCAATCTGCCTGGCTTCCTGGCATCTATTCTGATATTCTTCCAGGCATGTGTTCTGTGATTCTGTCTGACAACCTTTCTGGCATTCAATCTGGCATATACTGTGTGGAATTATTGCTAGCATTCTTTCTGGCATTCCATCTGGCAGATAATTGCTTTTTTCTTTTGGACACATGTATTGACCAATTCAAAACAATGTATTTCTATCTGACATGTGTTCAGCCAGTCTGTCTCGCAATCGTTCTGGCATTCTATCTGGCACATACTCTGACATTCTGTCTGGCATTCTTTCTGGCATTCTATTCTGACTTTCTGTCTAGAATTCTATGATATGGCATTCTGTTTGGCATTTCATCTGGCATTCTGTCTGGCGTTCTCTCTGGCATGAGTTTGGTCGGGGCCCACCCCACAGCCTCCTGAGCTCGTGATGACACCGGCTCCAGGCCCACTCCTCCTGAGTTGACAATGTGGGAGAGGGTCCAAGCGCTTTATACAGCCTCCTGAGCTCGCGATGTGGCACTACATTCCAGACGCCAGGGTGGCACACTCCACAGTGTCCAGAGTTCGCGATATGCTCTTCGCGTCCAGGCAGAGGAGACGCAAGGATGAGGAATGAGGAAGCAGGAGAAGGAAGGAAGGAAGTGAGGAGAATCACTTGTTGAAATCTAGAGACGTCCACCTGGCAGGTAGGAAAACAGTTGAAAAATGCCGAGATACTGTCAACCCAACATTGCATCTCTTCAACGAATTGGTGATATATTCCCTCGCCCACATCCATGCCCCAGCAGCGCGGATCAAAGATTCAGGAGAAAGCGTCGGCCATGTCTTCTTGCCCATGATTCTGGCAAACTGCTCAGGCAATTTCTCATTGGCACAATGAAACTTGCTTCTCATTTTTGTCGCCTTTGTAGTTTTCCATTTGCTCATGAATGCTCTCTTAGTTACGGCCGCTGGGTGACAGATTCCCCTGGCCTCCAGAACTTGCGAACCAACCACAATGCTTTGGACCTCTGATGTTGTGTGCCTTCGGTTCGGGTTTTGGAGGGAGTCACATCTGATTCTCTGATGGCAGTCTTCAATAAGCTTTGTGTCTGGGAATGTCTCCAACATGGCGCGAAGCAGCTGCAAAGCGCCCGGCCTATCCCCAGTTTCCAGCAGGTTAAAAGCCAGCCTCATTGGCGGATAAATGCAGTTCCGCATTTCCATTGCCAGATCCGCTGCTCCGGGACTGGCTGCCTGTTCCAAAATGCACAATGTTTTCCAATCACCCAACATCATCTCACCAGCAGCGTGCGAAGCTACACCTTCCGGGCCAAGAATTGGCGCAAAGCAGTATGGAGCACACTCATGCTTCGACAGTGAGCCAACACGGTAGCACAGCAAGCCCACCACATAGTACCAGAGCTGCTTGGCAAAATCCTCCGGAGAGCAGCCAGCCACAGCACAATACTGCGCCACACGCTTGATTTCCACAGCATTTTGAAGACACCCGGCCAGCTCTTGAAGCTGCAGGTCTGACCTCCAAGTCGAGCTCATGGTGATGAAGTTTCTCAGCCCGTCCTGTGGTGACTTGATCTCCCGGATTGTTTTTGACCACCAATTCCACATGGGTCGCCCACCCAGCATGAGCACCTGGACTCCCAACCAGTTTTGAAAGGTGGTGCACTTCAGAGCCAACTTCAGCCCGCCAGAGTCGTTTCTCAAATCTTTGAAACTTTTCTTGTCAGTTTTGTCCGGGTGGTCCATGTCCGGGAATTGGTGCCTGAGAAGCATTTGCAGTGCGTGCCACTCATTCATGTGCTCCTCTGCCGCTGTATGCCAGCTAAACCACCTGCCACTTTTTACAAGGGACTTCTTCAGCCTGAAGCTTTCGAGCTCCGAAGCCAGAGACGACCACAAGTCCCGAAAGTCTTCTGCTGTTCGGATCTGCTGTTTGAAGTCCATTGAGATCAAGACAGCGTATTCGCTGAACAGGTCTGAATCCTGAGCCAGGGAACAGTGAAGGAATAGAGGTGTTGGCTTATTTACCCTCATGTCGAGGTTCCCCAAAATCAAATCAAAAAATTGGGAACACACATGACAGAGCTGGAGAATGAAAGACCTCTCCTCTGACGTTGTGGCCATGAAGTGCTGAAGCAATTCCTTCTTGTCAGCATGGAAACTCCCACCTTTAAACGGTTTATAGTTCAGGTTGAAGAGGTAGGTACTGCTGAGGAGCGCGGTTTGAAGCCGGTTGGAAATCTCTTTCGGTCCAAAGGCCATCCCATGTTTCATGTCGTTGATCAACCGGTGCAAGGGATCCCAGCCTGAATCTCTCTTGACAAACGCACCAAACTCTTCAAACAAGGTTGCGAGCAGATCAACAAAAATCAAACCTTATTTCATCTTCGAAAAGTGAAATAAAATGATACATAAATATAATATTTTTTTGTATATATTATATATATATATGTTTATGTATTTATTTATGTATGTATGTCTATGAATATTTCGACTAATTGAATGCTCACTCTCACTATGCCCAACAACACACACACACATTGCTATCACTCATCCTGCACATTCCAAATGCTCAAATAAGAAATTGGTGGCGCAGGCTGCTACAACACAGGCGCAGCCAACAAGCAACGCCGAGAAACTGTAGTGCATGAGGCAGCGGTCCGATCCTGCCAGGAATCCTGCAAAAGCACATCCGCATGGCACCTGGTCCATGATCAAAGAAAGGACTGGTTTCGACCTTGCCCCCGACCAATCAAGCTGCTTTGTTTCCCGGGTAGCTTTGTTGTGAACAAAGACACTGTTTTGTTTGAGAACCCGGACCACATCTGGACTCAATGGCGCCAAAGCCAAAGCCAACGGATCAGTCTCGTCAAGCATGAACGCGCTAAAGCTCTTGCCGGTCAAAAATTTGAGTTGGTAGCTCACTGCCTGCATGAGCCGGTACGACGCTAACCGTTCAATTTGGCGGGTAGCTGCCAGCTCTTCAACTTCGTCATCCAACAGGGCCTCGCCAGGCGCCAACAGTGTGCCGCCTGACTTCATCACCTGGCTATTTGCGTAACAACCAACCTGATTGTCTGTTGACCAAACACAGCTGACTAAAGTCTCCCGGCAGGAGTGCCTGGAGGCGTCGCAGGCTACAGAGTAGTATTGGCACCCTGCCATAGACATCCCAGATCTACGGCCGTAGATATTTTCAATCTTGCGGGTCCAGTAAAGCGTTGATTCTTCGGACACTCCAGCTCCACGATCTTTGCGACGTGTGCGTGCGAGGGTTGGCAAGCTGACACCCATTGACAGCGAGTCACTGTAGAGCTCCCAGATGGAATTCAGATCCACCATCACCTTGGACTTCCGAGATCTTGTAGCAGCAGGCTGCTCAGCACCATCATCTTCATTCAGTGGGTCAAATGGGACAAGGCTGCTGTTTGGCTGACCAGGCGAGGGGTCAGTGGCAGGAGGTGATCTCAAAATCCGCCTGGAAGGGATTGATCTGGAGTCTATGTCAGCCACAGCATCACAAATCCTCAGCGCCTCTTGTCTGATGCAAGAAGCCAGAAACAGAGCCATAGAATTGACCAGGGTTTCGACCATATCAATTGTCTGGTTTCCCCATCGCTTCTGTGTGGATCGTCGCACCTTGTCTGCCATAGCGACAAAGACAACTACATCAATCAGGGACGCTCTGTCCATGCTCCCTCGCACCTTCCCTTCGTCAGAAAGCACCGACCAGGCAGCTGCCATGGATGCTACCATTTGTGTATGCACTCCCCTGACAAATGAACCTTAGCAGGGTGGCTGGCCAAATTTTACTCATACTAGTTCAAACCACTAAACTGACTGCTTAACAAAACAAAACAACAGACGCAGTCGGGGCAAGATACTGAAATCGCAAGATCCATTGCTATCGAACTGTAGCACTGCATTTCTGTACCGAAGCTCTGCGCCACCCATCTGCCGAATCTGAGCCAGTCCAACGGTGGAAGCAATGTTAACCAGAAATTGCAGCGCTGACCTTGGATCAGAAATCTCATCAAGTCCACAGCACCCACAAAATAGTGGCCAGCATGTTCAACGAATAGTTATTTTCATTCAGCGGAATGTCAGCCAGTGAGTTCAAGACAGACTAGTCCAGAATACATGACATGGCATCACACTTTAATAATTCAGAACCAAAGCGCAGAGACTTGCTGGGCTGCCGGGTAGTCACATGGAACAACAGATAGACCAGAGATGATGTGGTGCATGCAGTTGAATCCAGCTGATCGATCCTGAAAGGGAATGGCAGCAAGGTTGCCAGTGGATGGCAGCAAGCTTGCTTCCACACAAATTGGGCCAAAAATCTTACAATTCTTTGACAGCCCAACACTCACCCGCCAAGTTGGCTCTGCTGCTTCTTCGAAACATTGCCCTCGCCCAGCAAGTCTGTCGCTTTCTGGCTCTACAGAGCACCAATCACGAAGATTGTTTCTGGCATGACCAAGTCTGTCCGACAAGTAATGCAGGTTCCAAAAGAACCTCGATTCATTGATTGATGATGCTTTCCAAACCTCAAATATCCTATCATGTTCATATCAAATTAAGCACATGTTAGTTGACTTCCGCCACATGTCACCCATCCAAACAAATTCAATCAAGGCACTCTGGCCCACCTCGGTGATGATGCTGGTACGCAACCGAAGTCGGCAAAATCTCCCTCAGCTCTTCAAAGTACAGTGTCCGCACATTTGCCTCCAGGCTCATTGCGACACCTCTTAGAGGTCCAGGAAGCAAGAGGCTCAGGCTTTGCAAATGGTTGCAAACAAGTTGGATGGACTGCCTGTGGCTATGCTGTGCTATCAAATGCTGGCCTTACTACTAATAACTTGGAAACAAGCTCTCCATGCTGGTCGACTATGGCCAGGGTTACAGCTGACAGGCCTGACTGCGCAGAACAGAGGAAATGTCGACACATCAAGACTTACAGCTGACGGATGCAAATCATGAGACAATCAATGTCTACAACTGATGATGTATGCAGGTCAAAACTTGTCTACAACTGATGGATGCGAGCCACAGCTGCTACATGTGTCCAAACTGGGCTGGTACACTTTTTGTCTTGACCCGCCATTGCCACTTTGAAACGAAGGCCGTCTGACCTACTAAAAGATCACAGCCCCCATACAACGGATTGTCACTGCGAAAGGCTTAAGGCTTAAGGACCAAAGCCGTGGCAAGACTTGACATTCCTTATCAGTGGTCAAAAAGCCATCGCACCCCATTGATTGCTATAGGATGGCCACCACTGCTGTGGTTGTCGCTGCCAAACAGGGGTTCCGCAACATACAGCTGACTTGCTGAGTTCACAGTTGACAACTGAGTTGGTCGGGAAACACAACACTTGTTTCATCCGGGCAATATTAAAAATAACAATATTTGCAAAGTACACATGACAACACCCTGGGTTCCTGGTCCATGACGCAGTGGTAGTAGAAAAAAGCTCAAGCTGCCAGCCAGCACAGTCTTTGACAAATGTCAACACAAATTACCATCTGAGAACACAACTGACTGAAGTGGTGCATGTTTAAGACTTGCCTGTCTTCCTGTGCTGGAAATCAGTGAGCCAGCTCAGACAACAGACTCGGACACCTCGGCAGCAGCCGCCAAGATCTCATTCTCGGACACAGTGGCCGCTGGAATCTCCGCCACACCAACATCATGCGGAGGATTCTCCGACACATCACCGGGATTCTCCAACACATCTCTGCCTACGTTCACTGATGCATCACCTCCTTGGTTGTCCTGCACGTCACCTGCGTTCTCTGACGCACCTGCAACTGGATTCTCCAACACGCGGTCTGGATTCTCCACAGTGTCATCCACAGATCCAACGTACTCCCACTCCGTCTCAGCATCTTCTTGCGGCAATTGTACGGGGCACCTCAGAGGACAATCATCCGGCCCCTTGTTGCACAAGTTGTGCCACTCACTGATGCAATAGCTGTGGTAGACATGGCCGCAGCGCAGCATCCTTCGAGCTTGGCCGTTCATCAAATTGTCCATACAGATAACACAGGAAGCAGGTCCCTGATCAGAAGAAGGATTTTCTGTCATCTGGTTCACTGGTGACTCACCCACCTCCTCATTCGGATGGGCAGCTGCTTCAATGCCATTGGCAGGCGCAGACACTGCCGCCGAAGAAACAGGAGGTCGTGGCACCAAGGTTGCAACCAATGGGGCTGATGACTTCGGGAGCACTGTTCCACCAGCTGCCTTGTGGTGAAGCAAAGCGGCTGGAAAGTCAGCGACACTGAAGCAAGAAAATTACAAGAATTGACAAGACACTGCCAGTATACTGTTCACATCCAGTTCAAAAAGAACATATAAAAAAAAGCGAGACTGAGACAATGTTGCATGTCGAGGGGCCATCACAGGAGATGATGGTAGGGTCATGACAGCAACACGGGCACCAGTCTTGGGCACATGATGACCAGTGACCTTTGCGGGAGCAGGGGCTGGGGTTCCAGCAGCAGCCTTAGCAGGAGCAACAGGTGCTGCCAACCTGGAAGCTGTCACAGGTGGCGCTACCACAGGAACATTGGCCTTTGCAGGCACAGCCACACCAGGAGCTTTTGCTCCAACCGCCCCAACAACCCCTGGGCCACGAAACATGGCAGCAATATCCTGATTCATTGGGGGCGGCTTTGCAGCGGGAACTCGGCGCGTTTGCATCCATGCCTGGTCCCATCCAATGCTCTCTGCCACCTCAAGGACACTAGCATCATCCAAGGCCAGTGGGAAGCGGTCAAAGACTTGGCTCTTGAAGTTATCATGGCCAACGCCCTGCAAAATGCGGAGGTGAGCCTTCTTCATGGTCTTGTTGAAATCATCGTACTTGACGCATCCTCAGTGAAATCTCTTCGTTAACAAAGTGCAGACTGACAGGCAGTAAAATAAAACAATTTGTCTAAGGACAACAAAAAGCTCGTTTCCATCTTGGAATTATCAACATTGCCGTGCAATTGATGACTGGCACGCAACTGAACAAACTCATGGGTTCGTAAGCAAATCCGAGCATCTCAGATCAGTGAGGACTCGGATGCATGGTTTGATTCGACAGTACAGCCAGAGAAGGGCTAGCAGACCATTTGCGGAGCACTCGGACATGAACGACATGTCTAAGCGCGGGTTGATGTACTCCATGCACACCGCGAGATGTTGGCGCGGAATATTTTTGATGTACGTGACATTCCGAGAGATAAAATTCTCTGCTTGTCGGCGGGCATTGAACTCCTCTTGGGCTGGGTCATCAGGACGGACAACTGGGTAGATCGGCACATCAGGTTCAACAGGACGAGGAATGGCTGCCGCACCTTCAACCGAGCCACTGGATTGGCTCGTCATAGACGGCCTGTGGCCACTGGACTGGCTCTGGCCAGCAGCTCTGGAACCAACCTCAGGTTCTGACTCAGTCTCTCCCTCCCCTTCATCCATCGGAACCACCTGGTGTCCCGGGTTCATTGCTTGTCCCATCAACGCAGCCATGGGGTTCATAGACTGCCCCATCATAGCCATAGGATTGGCCATAGGATTGAGCATCATCATCAAGGGGTTCATACCCACATTGTTCGGCATGCCACTTGGGGTGGGCACACCACCACGACGGGCACGCTTCGGAGCTCGCAAGGTTGAGAGAGCCATTGTCGCTAGGACGACAGCACAACTGACAGCACAACTGACACACTGCTACAGCTTGATACAACTGACTCCAACGATACCACAGCTGACATGCAACTGACCGTTTCCAATATGCTTCTGTTCTTGCAAAAAACAAAAAAAACATATATTCGCAAAAAAAAACAAAAAAACAAAAATAAACTTTTTTTTGCAAAAGAGCAAAAAAGAGCAAAAAAGAGCAAAAAAGAGCAAAAAAGAGCAAAAAAGAGCAAAAAAGAGCAACAAAGAGCAAAAAAGAGCAAAAAAGAGCAAAAAAAAAGCAAAAAAGAGCAAAAAAGAGCAAAAAAGAGCAAAAAAGAGCAAAAAAGAGCAACAAAAGAGCAAAAAAACAAAGCAAAAAAGAGCCAAAAAAAGCCAAAAAGAGCAAAAAAGAGCAAAAAAGAGCAAACAAAAAAGCAAAAAAGAGCAAAAAGGAGCAAAATAAATTAAAAAACAAGCAAAACATATTAAAATAAATAAAAAAAACAAACAAGAGTAAAAAAGAGCAAAAAAAATGAGCAAAAAAGAGCACAAAAGAGCACAACAGAGCAAAAAAAAGCCAAAAAGGAGCAAAAAGAGCAAACAAGAGCAAAAAAAACAAAAAAAGAGCAAAAAAGAGCACCACAAAGAGAAACAAAAGAGGGAACAAAAACACAAAGAGCAAAAAAGAGCAACAAAGAGCAAACAAGAGCACAACAAAGCAAACACAAGAGCAAAAAAGAGCAAAAAAGAGCCACAAATAGAGCAAAAAAGAGCCAAAAAGAGCACAAAGAAAAGCACAAAAGAGCAACAAAAACCAAAAAAGAGCAACATAATGTAAACAAGAGCACACAAGAGCAGACACAAGAGCAGAAACCAGAGCAAACAAGAGGAGAAACAGAACCACAACCCACAATAAGCAGGTACAAAAGCAAAAGCGAACGCAAAAGGGCAGCAATAAGCAGCGTTGAAGGGGACTAGTGCACCTATAACCAATTTTTTAAAATTCACATTTGAAGCTATCAAAAGCACATCTAACCACATTTCAGTGTTTTGTAGCGCTACGCAGCGGCATTAATAATAACACTGTCAAGTAAGAAACATCTGGAAGCCAGGTGAGGGTCTCGAGACTTTAGCAAAGGTACCACTCCTCAATTCCTTCCTTCCTCCTTTCTCCTTTCTCCCCCTTGTGTCTCTTTTGCCTGGGCCTGAAGAGCATATCACGAACTCCGGATGCTAGGGAGTGTGCCTGGAAGTGGTGCCGGAACCCATGGCACCAGGCGCATGATTCATGTCACACGAGGTCAGGAGTGGGTCTGGGCCTGGTGCCACATTGCGAGATCAAAAGGCTGTGGAGCAGGCCTGGACCGAACTCCAGAGAGAATGCCATACAAAATGCCAGATGGAATGCCAGACTGAATGGCACATGGAATGCCAAACAGAATGCCAGATAGAACGCCAAACAGAATGTCAGAATATATGCTAGGTGAAAAGAATGCCAGAAAGATTGCCAGACAGGCAGAGCACATGTCAGGTAGAATGACAGAAAGAACTGAACATCAGAATATATAACAGAAAGAATGCCAGATAGAATGTCAGAACATATGTCAGATGGAATGCCAGAAAGAATGTCAGGCGATAGAATGCCAGAATGCCAGCCAGAAATGTCAGAATATATGCCAGACAGACTGCCAGACAGAATAGCAAAACACATGCCAGATAGAATGTCAGAAAGAAAATCAGAACAGATGCCAGAAAGACTCCCAGATAGAATGTCAGAACATATGTCAGCTGGAATGCCAGAAAGAATGGCTGAATAGAACCCCAGAAAGAATGCCAGACGGAATAGCAGAATCTGTGTCAAATAGAACGTGAGGAAGCCAAATCAGAATAGATGCCAGAAAGACTGCCAGATAGAATGAAAAGATGCCAGATAGAATGCCAGGTGGTCAGGGCATATGGCAGAAAGAATGTCAGATAGAATGTCAGATGATGTTTGCCATGTATACTTCCAGATGGTATGTCAGAAGCTGTGTCAGAATAATGTGCCAGGGTGGGGATCAAAGTAAGAAAACTGTTGCCATGTACGAATGTACATGTGAGGTGCTCAAAGACAGCATACACACTCCACTCGACCCAATCAAGTTTGACTTTTGCAATACATCATCATCATCATCATCATAATAATCATCATGATCATCATCATCACCACCATCATCATCAACATGTCAATCATCTTTTCACCATCCGCATACATCACTCACTCATCAGTCTTCCATCCTCCTCGCCAACATCATCACCAATGCCCCCTTCCGCCATCATCATCGCTATCATCACCATCAACCATTGTTGTCATGATCATCAACAAAATCATCAAAAGTATCACCATTGATCATTGTCATCACTCAACTGACAATCACTTATAAAGCACCATTGAAACGTTATATCATCACAACCTTTTTTGTCAGCCATGGTAAGGATCGTCAACACTATCAACGATCACCATTGTTATTGGTCATCACCAGCTGTCAACAAACATTGTCACACTATCGCTGTGACAGTTGCGTTGAATTTCGCTGTTCATGATGACAACACCAAAACACAAACAAACCTTACAGCAAACAAACAGCTGACACACTGCTTGTGCCACATCTGCCGGTTGTTGTCAAACCTGCCACAGCCACCCAGTTCGTAGGCCTACGGCAGGTGAAACTCCAAACACAACCCGATCACAACTGTTTCTTGCTATCAGCACTACAGGCTACAGCAACTGACTACCTGGAACACTTAATGGCAATCTTCAGGTTCAAGAGCCAGTGGCCACACTGAGGCGCAGACTATCTCACACAGTTCTGTCAGCTGATGTGTCTGTCATTGGCACCTTGTTGTGTGAAGAGGCTCACACCACAAAAACTGCTGAGGTGATGTTGACATTATTATTATTACCTGTCAGGTGTATGTCAATCATGTGAATCAGATGTATGTCAGATGTATGCCAGATGTTGGCTTTAGCAGGTGAATCATATGTATGTCAGATGTATGCCAGATGTTGGCTTTAGCAGGCGTCACAATACAATTTATGGTTTTGCAAACTGGGCCTTGGACTTGTTCAGGTCTGGGAGCAATGAGCTGCATACCTTCCACAAAACGGATGCCAAAAGGCAACAATTATGAAAAACCTCACACCACTGTTTCATCCAGCCAACTGACCTGTGCATGATGTTGACAGTTTGTTTTGCTGTTGCTACCGTATTGTTTCAGTTTGACGAGGTCACCAACATCCATCCATCCATCCGTCCATCCATCCTTACTTAGTCACCCAGTGATATTGAGCTTGTTATATTCATCCACCTGTTCCAGGCACAACCCATAACCCTGAATGCAATAAAGACAGACAGCTGACAAACTATTTGAAATTGTGATACACTTGAAACTCAATGAATGTCTCTGTTGCACCTTCCATGGCCATCCCCGTAGGCCTCATTCAGGTCAAAAAGCGCACAGTCCATCAAGTTTTTCTTTAATGTAAGTCTTGACTTGACATTTGAGAAGGGGCGTTCTTTTTGAAATGATCTTCCCTAGTAGGGCCCATATTTACTTTCTTAGTAAGTGATCGCCTGCAATCCTGTAGTGTGATGACAACAGCTGTCCCAAAACATTTGTTTTTAATCCAGGAGTGGCGCAATTTATACCTGAAAGAACCCATCAGAGGTTGAAGGCTACAACAGCTGATTTGCAGAGTCTTCAGTCCAAACAGTTGGCCACATTCAAACTCAGGTTTAGACACACCATTTGTGTGAGCTGAAGCTCATCCCATGGGCACCTTGTTGAATAAAACTGTCGAAGCAAGCTTGTCGATACCATACATAGTCAAACATGACTGTCAACAGCAATCTGCTGGTTTTAGACTCATTATTGGGTAAGCCTGTGAGCATGCGTTAACTAAGCAGCTCACCAAACACGGATTGAAGTACCAGTTGGTTTTGCAGACCTTATCAAGCTACAGACTTGGAAGAACAACGCTGGGACATGAGAAGGCCCAAGCCACAAGCAGCTGTAGCAGTAACAACTTCATCATTAATTGCAATCAATTAAGACAATAATATTACCACAATTTTCAGATTGCGAATGATCAGAATCTAGAACTACTAAATGTGAGCCTCACCAATTTCATTGAT